CTCTTTCCCGTTTGTCAATATCTTACTTGTACTGAGTTGCCCAAAACAGGACACAGGACGCAGATGTGGCTTCAGCAGTGCTATGTAGTGGGGAATGAGCCCTTGAGCCCTTCCCTCAGTCTGCCAACTACACTCCTCCTACTGCAGCCCAGGATGCTTGTTGTCCATCTTTGCTGCCAGGGCCGTGTTTGATGCGCTGTTCCCCGGCACCCTGGGAGCGTTTCTGCAGAGCTACTCCCCAGCTGGTGGGTCTCCAGCCTGTACTGGTGCATGGAGTCTTTTTGTCCTAGGTGCATGACTTCGCTTTTCCCAGCACTGCATTTCGCTGTGTTCCCTCTGGCCCATTTCTCCAGCCTCTTGAGGTCTCAGATCTGCTACTGTTTGTTGGACTCAGCAGGAGCTGTTACTGCAGGGCAAAGCAACTTTTTTCAAGAGGCAGCTGTGCTTGACTTGTTTTGTGGAAGGGCCCAAAGCAAAAGGAATCACAAAGAAACTCTTTACTTCAGCCCCCTCCGTTTTATGTTTTGGGGCAGTCTTGTGGTTCAGGGTGGCCTGATACATGCTCTGCTGTCCTGTGGCATTGGCTGTGCCGCAGTAACCCTAGGAGCAGCCTGAGGTTGGTACATACTGACTACATTAGGCTGTTCATTTCATGGCAGCTACTTAAGTCAGGCTCTGCACCCTTTTTGTAGTGATGATACTGAGTTAGTAGATTTATTTCCTGTGCCTAGAAAGAAACTGAGAGCAGGCATATGGTGAGATGGGGCAGAAGAGGGAAGGAAGGAGCAAAAAGGCAGCCGGTGATCTTGGTCCTGAGGAGCCAGGTTTCTAGTGGAGAAAAGACCTTCCCTCATGCATCCCTGCAGAGCATTCCATACTGACTGCCTTTGGGGGGGCCTCATACTGTGTCTTTCTAACAGGCACGTGATGAAATTGTGTGCAGAGGGTAGCAGGAGCTGGACAAGATGTCCTGAGATCTGCTTAGCATTTCCTCATCAGTTGGGCATGCACCCAGTCAGAGCAGTGGGAATTGCTAGTTCCCCGGAAAGCTGCTCTGCTGCAAGAGCCAGCTCACACGAAGTGTGGTTAGAGCTGCAGCCACTCTTACTTCTCCTTTTGAGAGGTGAAAGGACAACACAAGTGTGGTCAGAGATTGCGTGCACCTACGTTTGGTCAGGAGCCACCTGCAATCCTTGAACTGGGGGTTTCACATCCTCTTTCAGACCAAACTTACTCCATTGCTATGAGGACTGATTCTTGCCATGGCAGGGCGTGAGCTCTGGTTCTGGTGCTTGTCTTGTGCTGAGTAGTCTTTGGCTTGCCTGGTGTTTCTCACATGTGCCCACACCTGAGGAGGGACTAATTTCTCTGCCCCTCATCTACGGGAGTGCTTTACCCTGACTTTTTCTGTGAGGTCTGAAAAAAAGAAATAATGATTTAGGGGAATAAAGAACTTCCCCTTCTCTTGCCACTCACCTCTGAGCAGAACTCTTTTGAAGGACTGCAGGATGGGCAGTGACATGGCATGTCAGCACACGCTGATGTTTGCGGTATGCACACCTTTACTCCCAAGGACCCAGACTAGCCCTGAAGTCTCCACCAGAGGCAGTCGCTTTTAGTGAGGAATTTACACAAGACCTACTGATGGGCAGGGAGGCTCCAGGATCCTGAAAGAGTCTATGAGAGCGTAAAGAGCCCATTCTCAGACTTGCACCTCGCTGGCTGCCCACAGCGTTCATCTTGGCCCTCTGGCTCTTGGCCTGGGCGTTTCAGATGGACAACTGATTTGCCAAGGCCGTGAGGAGTGACAGATGTAGCACTGGTTAGGGAAGGAAGCTGATGGAAGGAGGAGGCCAGGGAAGGTTATGTTAGCGCCTGATTCGGAGGGAAGTGTTCTGCCATTTGCAGCAAGGAACAGCAGCACAGC